GCAATGGCATTTCTGTAAATACCTCAAATCCAAATTTTTTTATTTTCTTATNGGAATGCCAAACAGCATCTTGAAAGGAAATGTCATGCAATGGCATTTATGTAAATACCTCATATCCAAATTTTTTTATTTTCTTATTTTTTTATAATTACATACATATTAAAACATGTACCATAAAAATATTTTCCTATTTTTTTTCTAAAAATATTTTTTTTCACATGCATGCTTGTGTTTTACAACTCTCCCTTTCTAAATAAAATTTCATCCTCGAAATTTACTTACCTGATGAAAACAACTAAGGGTATTGAAATTTCATATTCTCCTCTGTTTTTCAAGTAGCCTCCTCAATTGAGTGACTTGTCCACAATACCTTTACTAACGAAATGGCCTTATTACGTAATACCTTCTCTCGACAAGTCAAAATCTATACTGACTTCTCAATATAAGTCAAATCTTCTTTTAACTCAAAAGACTGCTCAACCAATACATAAGACGAGTCGGGCCTGCACCTACGGAGCATAGAAACATGAAATATATTAAGCAAACAAGAAAATTTTGAAGGTAAATCTAATCGGTAAGTTGTAGCTCCAACCCTTTCTAGAATCTCATAAGGCCCAATATATCTCAGACTGTGCTTTTTTTTACCAAATCTCAATACACCCCTCCAAGAAGATATCCTTAGAAATATTCAATCACCCACTGCAAACTCTAAACATCTTTCGCGTATTTAGATGCTACTCAATGACAATACGTGATTAAGCCTAAATAATACATATTTATCCTATCTTTTGGGGGTTAATTGTCATGATTATGGACTTAATTGTATGAGTTTAATACTATATTTGATTTTATGATTATTTAATTGGTGTTTGCCTATTTTGTAGCTAAGCTAACAAAATAAGGAGGCAAACATGGGAGTGGATGACCCAAAGGAAGGAAGATCATTGAAGAACAGAGCTTTGAAGACCATGTGCGGACGTAATATGTCCTAGTCCAGATGTGAAGTTCTGCACCAAAGGAAAAAATTGCAAGAACTCTCAACTTGTCACATCGGGACATCACTTTACCCACGTCCAGGTGTGTGCTTTCATTCCCAAAGGGCTCAATGACACAAAGGCTTGGGTCATTTTCCGCGATTTGGAAAAGTACTCACTATACTTTTTCACCTCTTTGATGGAAGTTTTCAAGATCTAGAAGCTTTCTATTATTTTCTTCTTTAATATTTTTGTAATTAAGTGTTTTAGCCTTAATTAATGGCTTGCTAAACCCTTTCACTAAGGTTAGGAGAAAATTTGGTATACATTTGGGTATGTAATTAATCCTATGAGCTTTAATTGATGTTTTTCTTTAATAGTTCAATTCATCTTATTTAGCAAAGCTTTCTCTTTATATAATCTCTTGAATTACTATGTTAAATGTAATGAAAACTTGAGATTCCCTGTGAGTAGAATAGCTAGATGTACATGCTTGGGTTGAATTTTTAATGATTTCATCTAATTAGTTGATTTGTTGATTTATATGAATTAAGATATTTGATTGGTTAATTGCTTGATTTATCATTGACTCCAGGCATGTTAAATGCTTATAATTAACAATTGGATGTTTGGATTCATTTAGGTTAGTTTATTGATTATATCTTAGGAAATTTCCTAATTAATCATTGATAACTCCTCCAACTAAGTTCACTCTCTAGTTGTTTCTCAATTAAGAAAACCCTTTCCTACCACCACATAGCCAATTACCTCAAAACTGAGTTCACTCTCTAGATGTCACAGGGGATTTGTAATCCTTTCATGCCACAAGCAGACCCACTAGGGGATGATGCTAGGAGTAATCATGGCGACAATGAGGATTATGAGCAAAGGACTTTTTCTAGTCAAAAGAATACTTATTATCTAAACTTGGTGAAGCCTTCAAATAGTAACAATTGAGCACCTCCTAATGAGTGAGGCTAGAATCATAAAGTTCAGCTAATCTCATCATCCCACTAGGAATCCTAAAAGTGTTGGCAATAAGTTGAGACGCATGAAGAACTACTATGTGCGAAAGCTCCCTCACCAAGCTGGGAATCAGGAACCAAATCTCACCTTGTACTATGGACACTATGATCCATTTGTACCCACCATCTCAAAAATCAATCTTGTCACCAAGGGAAACCCTCACCTCAAAAGTCCCGTGTATGNGCCTCTCCTGGTACAAACCACCCAGTGTTAATTAAGGCACAAGACGCACCAAGGCGCCAAGGTCTCTTGGGGCCTAGGCGCAAAGGGTTACGCGAGGCACGGGCCCAATGGAGTGAGGCGCTGGCGCATATTATATATAGTAGGCAAATAAGGATTCCATTAACCAAAACTTGCAACAATGGGATAACATTATCACCTAAGTGTTAAATGCCTCCCATAAATAATGAGAATTAACGATCCAATCTAGGAAGTATGGACACTTAATTTTGGCCAAAGTGTCAATGTCACACACGCTTCGGACACATGTTAGACACGTTAAAATGAGTGTCTAATTTTTTTAATGTTTATATTTTTTCCAAATACGTTTTGGACATGTTGGGGACATGCTCCGGACACATTGGAGACAAGTGGCCACCACGTTCAGGATACGCTAGAGTACACGTTGTGAGTTTTGCTTTTCAAATTTTTGAAAACTTGTCAAGTAACTTTATGAATAAGCAAGTTATTTTGTAACTTTAAAGAGATATGGGTCAAAGTTATAATATAAGAGTTATAATCACTACATGGAGATAGGACACCGACATAAATATAATTTAGGACATGATTATGAAATTATATGCAAGTGAAATAAACTTTTTATATGAAGTAATTTGACGAAAAAAAAGGTTATGAAATTGGAACTTTCAAAAATTGAATGAAAAAATAGGGTTACAAAGTAGACTACCTTTGAAAATGATAATTATCAAAGGTAGATTAGTGGATCATGAATGTTTATGATGAATGTGTATCGATATATCTTATATTTTATTTTTTATTTGATATTATCGTGATGTGAATTGTTAGAACTAAGGAATGATGAATTGAATGATTATCATTAAAAAATATATTTATTTTATCATATGGTTATACATATATATATATATATATATATAAACAATTACATACCTAATATTTAGTGTGTTCCCCAACGTTTCCGCATCCTAATTTTTTGAAAACTTTTGTGTCGGCATGTCCATGTTGCATCGCATCCGTGTCCCCTTCTGTGCTTCTTAGACCACAATCACAAAAGGTGAATAATATATAAAGCAACTGAGTAATGTCAAGTTAAGTAATTTCAAATAAAATAATTAATTGACGTTATTCAAACCATTAATCAATTTCAAATTACGCAATTAGTCCAATTTCCTATTGAATCAAGTGAGCAACATTAAGTAACTTCAAATTAACCAATTAAGCAAAATAACTAAGCAGCCAACTATCACAACCCATAGTGATGATGAGGAAAAATGCTTTCCTGCTTGCTCAAGAGCCAAACAGTGCATACAAAAACCGAACTAAAGAAGAAAGAATGCGGAAAGAGGACCAAGGATGCCGTATCAGCCCATTGGCAGGCCCAAGCCCTAATGGAGGGAAAAAAAATTAAAAACAATGTACCAGCCTCATGTATAAAAAGCAAAAAAAAGCGGAAGAAAAAAGATAACAACTCGTCTGACAGAAGAAGAGGACAACCGATATGCCACAGCAAACGAATGAAGAAGAAGAATACGATGAAAATTAAAAACCCCATTGAAGACCCAGAACCAGACACAGTAGAAACAAAAGGGGGCGAAAAAGATGATGAAAAGGTTGGCCGAGGCAAAGAAGACGGCGAAGACACTCAAATCTTCACCAGAAATCAACAGTAAAGAGGCTCTGTATTCTGTAATGCCTCAAACCTGCATCATTCATAAGGCACCTCACACACACTTCACCAAGTGATTTAGAACAAGGTACATAGGATTTGTTTTGGCTTTCTGACCTTCTCCATCTTGGCCCAAAGCCTCGGGAATCTTGACCTTTTGGATCTTGGGTCACCACAGTCCGTTCACGTTAAGGCCACACATCCTTCTGTGGGAACTATCCCACATTTTCGGTCAGTGCTGCCGTGATATCAATTGTAATGCCAAGACCTCCACAGAATACTATTTTCCATGCTTAGCAAGGTCTGAATGGCTTCAGAATGGTTTACATAAAGAAGATCCAAAGCCCAAACTTAGAAAACACCTCACACACACTTAATCAAGTGATATGGAGACAACGTACATGAATTTGGCACCCTCATCCATCTTGGTCCCAAGCCACAGAATTCTCAGCCTCCTGGACATAAATTTTTAAAAAAGAATTTTGATTGTTCTGCATCAACCTTGGAAAAACCCTTAAAAAGAAATTTGATTGTTATGCATTGCCTTTTAACGTAAAGCTTTGAGGAGGTCTATAAATATACCTTCTAAACCCTGGAATCAATATAGATCAACAAAATCAATGGCCCAAATTTAATCATAAAGCAATAAACAATTGCATGCCTCAAAAGACTCAAGCATGACTTAAAAGTGTATGCCTTGGGCACCTAAGCCTAGTCTCAATGAAGTCGCCTCGCTTCGGATAACTTGAGGCAAATTGTTCATGTGTAGCTGCGCCTTGCACCTTGGCCCTCACCCAATCGTCCCACTGATGATATTGAAAGGCCCTGAACTTCACAATTCAAGTACTAACAAACTTAGCCCACACTAAAACATAATCAAGGACATGGTTTATTCCCTTTTTTTGTTCTTTCTTTTTCATAGAGACATGCTAAAGGGAAGGAAAGATATAAGAATAGTAAATCATCACAAGCAATAGTGAAACAAGGATAGAAAGAGAAGGAACATGCAACCACAATAGTATGCTTTATGTACGATAAATTTCACCAAAGATGTATCCCGCATTCAAAGCCTTCCAAAAAAAACGGATAGTGGAGATGAAAAGCATTTAAGATGCCCAGACTATAAAGAATTCACATCAACCTTCAATGTACAATGCACCCACATCATCCAAGTCCCTTCTTGCATCAAATTTCAAGTCTGACCCAACAGAAATCCACCTGCGTAAGATCATTGGAAGACAAGAAAAGGTTGCAAAACATGAGTTTGAGAAAATAATGCCCCACAGCCAATGCAGTTACTACACCTTTTTCTTCTTTTTCTTTTTTTTTTTTTTGTACCAAAGCAGTTACTAAAACTTGATAAAGTGAAACTAGATCAAGAATACAAACATGGTAACAATGCATCAGAAGATTCCATCAACCAAAATCTTACAATGCTTTCCTCCTCCCATGGTGCCAGTTCTCCAAGATTAGCCCTGCAATTGTTCGTCCTTTGCCCACACCAGCTCCATCTCCAATAAAAAATCCCGCCCTGGCACCACTTGGTAGCTGCTGGAGATGTCTCTGTCATGGAAACCACATTATATTCCAAATGATGATACACAAAAATAAAATCTAAAGTCCAGTTATAAAAACAACCTGACAAGCATAAACCAATGTTTCAATCTGCAAGCATGACAATGCTTCTGAACTTTCCAGGTCATCTATGATCTTAAGATCATAAGTTGGTTCAGGTGGCTGCACTGCAGATAAGGAAGATGTCTCCACAACAGGATCTGGATGGGGACGACCAATAGATAATTTCGGAGGGCGCTGGACACAAATTGGAACAGTAAAATAACAATCCATTATTTCAAGCCCACAAAGCAAAACTCATGGCAGACAATAATATCCAAGGTAGACAACACTCACATAGTCTGTAAATGTTTCTACCACAATGCCACCCTCATCTTCGTCTCGCTCCACTTCCATGGCTACCTGAGAAGTGCCAAAAAAAAAAACATAATATAAAATTACATGCATTATGAACAAAGAGCCATGGAAAAAAAAAAAACATAATCTAAAATTTCAAAGTAAATTATCTGCTGACAACCCAACAAAAGACTATGCAGATTTGATTTCTTAGGATAAATAAAGCACACGACAGGCATTTTTCTGGCACATCCAAATAATAGACACCTCAAAATTAAATACTGGAGCTCAAAGGATCTTATGGTTGAAACCCAAGATTCTGTCGACCTTGTTTGGCATTACATTGACAATATTCCTATTTAAAAAAACAGAAATACTAATAGTCGTAGAAGCAAGCACCCACAAAATGTCCATAATTTTCATTTATTTCCAATTTTTGATCTAGTTCACTTCACTAGAAATCATTTTACAATTAAAAGGATTTAACTTGTCTTTGCAAGAATCTAGATCGATTTGATTTTTCATTTATGATGAGTATATGGATGGTGGGTTTGGTTCAAACTTGATAAAGGAAGGGGTTTAAGTTCATGGTTTGCGAATTCAAGGGTTATGCAAGTTGACTTGATTGCCAAGCACAACAAATGTATTAAGCAAGTGGAGATATTGTTAGCTCATCTGAAACGATTAATTAAACTGCCCAAATTAGAGTAGAATAGAACTTAACATTGATCTGAAATGTTGTAACAAAACTTAAATGACACCTCCACACATGTATCTCAACCTTTAAAATTTTTCCACAATCAATTCTTGATTATATTATTTCTTCTCCATCAAACCTTAATCTTAGAACATAGATTGATCGCATAATTTTTAAGTAGAATTTTCCTTTCAACTTCACAAGTTTACATCTATTGTGCAATACTCCATAGTATGCACAAATTCCTCTATAATATCTCATTCTATGAACATTCAACTCTATATCATTATGATGTTCACAATTTTGGCTTCTTTTAGCCATCCAATATCCATCTCAAGAACTTCCTCTTTTCAAATTCTACTTTATATTCTAAAAATATGTATAGTTGGGTTAATCAAGGTTCAAAAAAAAATTTCGATGCATTGTTTTGGTAACCTAGGAAAAAGAATCAACTTGAAAATATTTCAATAACGTTTTACAAACTAAATGGAAATGAATAAAAATTTATTTCAAAAATATAGAACAAAATATATAGAAACGTCTTAAAAGACCTCAAAACATTCTGAAATATAAAAAGAAACATACCAAAACATCTTAAAACATTCCTAACTACTACGAAGCATTGAAATTTTGATTCAATCATTATTTCGTTTCGGTCTCCTTGAAAACAGAAACATGTCGACCAATTCAAAACGAGATTTTGATCCTTGGAGCTGATTCCAAGGAATTCATACTCAATCCAGTTGTGACAAAAATAAGGGCATAAAGATGAGCCCTGAGATAGTCCCATCGTAGGGGTTTCACTTGCCTCACTTAAGATAGTTGTTATTATAGTTGAACCAGTAGAATATAATAGAATAATCATCCCAATAGGGTAACCTCAATTTTCATTATGGATAGTACAAATGAATTTAGTTTGCTTCAGGATACTAGACTTCCATAATAAGAATCAGACTTGCAAAAGCTCGGTTCAACAACCATAGGTTTTCTAGGAAAAGATGATTAAACCAAATTAATCAATAAAATATGGCATGGAAATGATGTCCTATCCACCAAAAAAGGGTTTACTCTAACGATCACAGGAATCGATTGGAAGAAATCAAAATTGGCTTTGAAATCTCACAAAATTATGGTCATGTAAGTTCTGAGGTAATACTTCCTTGAGGAATTACGTAGTGGTCCTTTATTTTTCATTTTAATAGCTGTGGTCAAGGCAGTTACACGCATAGCCTTATGCATAAGGCCAAGACATTCAGAAGGGAAATTCTCAACTTGTGTAATGAACGTTAATTACCCAAACAATGAAACGTACACAACACACAACATATAACGCAAAGTCTGGCACACAATCACTACCACAGAGAAAGGAACGAATGGCAAAATTTGTACAGCACCAGTTACTCAATTGAACAAATTCTCTAACATTTGACACAATGGTAAACTATTTTAAACTTGATCCCCCAGGAAGAGAATACAATTTGTAGTAGAGGGAACGATGATGACAAAAGTCTAGATTTGCTCAAGAAACAAGCTGGGAAATGGAGCTACTGCTAACCATTTGTCTCACTGATGGAGTCGTCCATACACTGCCTAAAGGTCACGTTCACTTGAAGAATCAAAGGGTGATGCTAGAATCACTGTTCTACTTGGTTCTGTCCAAACCTAATATCATTAAAAGCTTGCAATTGTCTTCTCCCCCTTTCCTTGACACCCATGATAACTTTGAGGCACATTGTGAATTCTACAACAGACATTGCAAGTAAAAACTCCTCTATTCTGGAAACCCAGAACTCAAGCGCCACAACCAATCATGTTTTTGAAAAAAAATTCCCACTGGTATGTAGAACAACACGTATACTGGAACAACTAGCCAAAAATTCAAGCAGATCACTGTAGTGCGACATAACAAGGAAATTATATAGCCAAACTAATTAGAATATACCCAAAGTCACACTGATCTATACACAGATGCCCGGGAAAACAAATAGAAGCGAGATCAAAAAAAAAAGTGTGAAAGTGTGATTTAGAGAAACCTCATTGACTTCTTCAGGTGGGGGAGACTGTGGAGGCTGTAGTGGCGGGGACAGCGATGGAAGAGGTGGCACAGATGGTTGCCCCATTTCGCAGCTCTCGCTTACAATTGCAATATGTCGATGCTCTAGAATACTATATTATGTAGATAGAAGGCACATAAAGAGGATATATGTCTTCTTTTTGGGATGAGTGAAGAACTGGGAGAAACGAGGGCTTTGTCTCGGTGGAGGAGCGGGAAAGGGCCTTTTTATAAGCGAGAAAAGGAGTTGTTCGTGTGCTGGTTGGGCTTCTCTCTCTCTCTCTCTCTCTCTCTCGCTGAGCCCTTAAACAAACGGAGCTTGTTTGGATCAAATTTTTGGGAGGGATTTACGTCGGCTTCTTCAAACTCACTTAAATCTAAACCCTTTGGAAAGATGGAATTCCACATTTAATTTGATTCATACTTGATATGCAGCAGTGGACTGGAAAAAAATGAGTATTCGTTCAAATTTATCTTGTTTGAACTGAAGATGGACTATACGTATTAAACGATGAACGTATACGAAAATACCTGTATAAATTCGTACGGAAATGAAAGCGGGGATGGACTTACCCTTTACCCCGCCCCGTCTCATCCCCGTCCCCGTCCCCGCCCCACTATTTGTTATATATATATATATATACACTTCAAAAATCTAACTAAACATATTTACTATAACTACCAATCTAAAAATATGGTAATCAAACTAATAAGTAACATTGTTATATAGTAATTTTATCAACTTTTTTCTCTAATTGTTCTTTTTTCTATGTGTGTTCACTGATTGAAATTGTTAGGAGTTTTGATTGACCATGCTCTAAAAACATATAAGAGAGAGTAAGATAGTTTTGCATTTCATCGTTGGTAGAATTATTGAACTAGCGAAATTTTAATTTTTCATCTTTTAACACTTTATGGTTGAAATAACAAAAATTCTTCAAGCAATCTTCATGTGTAGTGCTATTGTTTTCTTAGTTCATTTTTATTTTTCTTTTCTTCCTTTCTCTCTAATAGTTTCGTTTCTCTTTTTGTGGTCCAATGACACTTTAAATAGAATACTATATTGTTTTGGCTTTTACATTGTGCAATCTACATTTATGTTGTGTTAGATTATGTTAGATTATTTAGAATGTTGTTGGATTATTTAAAATATTAGATCTATTTAGAATTTTAGATTATGCTACTTGGGCTTGGGCTTGGGCCTGGGCTTAGGCGGATACAGAGAAAGCGGGGACAGGGACAGGGATAGGGATTAGAAATTTATCCGCGGACGGGGATGATAATGAAAACTATACCCGTTATCAGAGGGGTGCACCGGGGATGAACAGAGTTTTTTTAAGCGGGTACGAGAATGAAAACTATACTCCCCGCCTCCGCTTCGATCCACTGACATCCCTAGTGGAGAGAGTTTTCCTCGGCCATCCTTTTTGGATCCCCCCAATTATGGGCGGAAAAGGAGAGAGAAAAGGTAGGGAGTGTGCTAAGATATGTTAATTTACCTTTGTGCTCTCCATCCTTCCAATGCACTTGGGCCCTGTTTGTTTGAGGTATAAGATTTAAGTAATATAAAATTTTATATTCATTCCACTCTGATTCAATGGTATATTATATCTGGTATTAATCTATAATCCTATCATTCCCCTTGTTTGTTTATCACAAATATTATCTATATAATACCTACTTAAAAAAGTCAAAAATTACAACTACTCAATGTAAAAAGACAATTTGGGCTTGTTTGTTTGAGGTATAAGATTTAGGTGGTGTAAGATTTTATATCTATTCCACTCTGATCCAATGGTACATAATACCCGGTNGATTTAGGTGGTGTAATATTTTATATCTATTCCACTCCGATCCAATGGTATATTATACCCGATCTTAAACTATAATCTCATTCTTCCTCTTGTTTGTTTGTCATAAATATTATCTATGTAATACTTCCTTAAAAAAGTCAAAAATTGCAACTACTCAATATAAAAAGACAATTGTAACCTTATAATCTTATATGAGGCATTGTACATGAGAGCATTTGAATCTTTTATTCTATTATACCTCCATGAAATTAATACCGAGAATATTATACCACCGGATAGGTGGTATTGCTTAGCACCGTATACAAGGCATAAAAATTACTGTTCACACTGGATTAGTACTATGACTCAAAAATTAGTACCGAATAAAAAATATCAAACAAACAAGGTATAAGATAGACCCTACGTACTATTTTCTTTATACCACCTTATACCTCAAACAAACAGGCAGTTCTATTTTCTCCAAAGCAATGCACTTGCAGTACTATTTTCGTTCTCCAAATTTCATTTGAAAATGCCAAGTTTTATTATGCTACCTATTTAATGTGTGCGGTAATTGTGGGCAACTGTGCATTCCATTTATCTAATAATTTTTCTTTGAGAACAAAAAACGTCCCATATCTCATGCAATAAATAACTATCAATATTTTGTTTTGAAATATTCATACGCCTACAAAATAGGTACAAGAAAATATGTGGACAATGGCTATGTGGGTATTAAAAGCTTTTTTAGATTGATGGGATTGATTTGCAATAAAAATATTCACTTTGTATATTTAAGGGTAAAATTATAAATTGGCCATATATATTTTTCTTTTCCTTTATTTTTTTATTCAATATCAAACAAAAAAAATATATTATTTTTATTTTTTATCTCTTCTATCAAAAAAAAAAAATTTCTTTCGTTCAATGATAAAATTTTTATTCCTTCTACTTTTCTTTCATTTCATCTTTCCAGCATTCGGGCCAAATAGATCAAAAGAGTCATTACGCCATTGGAAATATCAGCCCTCCAAATGCCAACCCACATTTTGTCTTTCTTTGTTACAGATTCGGATACACACGTGTGAGTCGGTCATTATATTTATGGCTGGAGATTGTATTCTGTACGACTTACCCCTCAGCCATAGGTTTACGAGCAGCCATTTAAAAGCTGACAATTCAACAGAATTGGATCATTATAACATATTTAACCTTTTCTCTTACATAACTATTCTGTCGCCCTCAAACACTGTAAAATATTCGATGTAACATTGATGTCGTATTATTACTGTCATTTGATATTATTACTCAATTAGAATATTAAAAGTAAAAAAAATGAATCTCATTAATCTTATATGTTGATGATTGAATGTGATGATTAATAATAGTTATGAAAATAATAGAGTTTATTTTGCTTATGTATAATCTTTTAATTTGACTGTGACAACACGTGATAGTGATCACATAGTGTCACCGTTGCATCGAATATTTTCTCAACAAACACACAGATGCAGTATCATAGATGAATGCAACCCTTACCCACCACCGGCCCACTTTGGAACCTCCCCTCATTGTTTTTCTCCTTCCTCTTCTCTTTCTCACACCTTCACATAACATACAAAAGCACCAACCAGTCACCACCGCCCCCACACTGCCATTAATTTCTATGCTTGATCCCAAAGGTAAACACAGATGAAGAATTTTTCAGAAGAATGAACAAATATTATGACATCTCATATTATGAACAAAAATCTAAAATACAACCGCTATTGGGCTATTATTTTGTATTTCTGGGACAACCCATTATGACCTAGGTGGAAAGAAAGGGAGCACCTCGTCTAATTGAAAGAGTACCGGAAACGTATACAGTTTGCCTGAAGGGGAGCAGATAGCAGAGGATAGACATAATATATAATTGTGGCCCACTATATGCTGAGTTGTCAGCTTTTGAATGGCTGTCCGGAAACCCTACGGCTCACGGGTACGCCGGACATAACATAATCTTGTATGGATGTACCTGTCTCTCTCCAATGACATCCTGTGGTTTTTACTCTTAAAATCTCATTGTCATAAATAACTAGTCAAAATTGAGGAAGGAGCTTTTACAATTAGCAGAAGACTAACTATTATGATAACATACTGAAACTTGCATGCAATAGCTCAAAGCAGTATTATTTTTCTGGGAGTATATTAATTTGTTTAATTAAGTTTGTTTTCATTGTGCCTGCAGTACTTTTGACTTCTTCAAAGGACTAGTCAGAAGAAAACTGGCCTGATGAAGATCTCTTGGCACTTTCTGTAGGGGACAACAATCAACTTCACAATGTGCATATCTGATTATTAGCCATGTATATTTTTTGTTTCTTTAGTTCTGATGCATAAGTCCATTTATTCGCTCATTTAGATTTAGACTCTTCATTGAATGGGGTTTGGTGAAACTAAATAAGATCTCTCCTATTACTCTGGTCAAATTTTATTATTTGATCCTATATTATTTCTTGAAATAATACACAACTTAGAAATCTCCCTAAATGACCAATTAAGTTTATGATATTTGCCTCATTGCCTGCTATGTAATGGTCCTTTTTTTCTTTTACAGCAATAAAACTATGTTATTTGTAAGATCAATGATTGATTTTTTATCTTTAATTTAGACAACATGTGAGAACAAACTTATTTTGGTTATGTTTGCTGTGGTCAGTCAATTCCATTATAAGCCAGATGCCACAGTATCAGGGGACCAAATTGTTGTCTTTGTGGTGCCAATAGGACTTAAAATGCCTCATATATCTGTTAAGTGCTAAAACATGCAGGTTTGAAATTTTTTTCTCCAAAAGAGCCAACGATCACTTGTTGTTACGGCACTTGGTGTGGTCCAACAATCAGACACTGGTATGTCCTAAAATTGTGGGGTTGGTGGTCTCTCAAAGAACAAAGCTAAAGAACAAACGTCTCCAACGTAAAGTCTTAGTTAGTCGGCAGAAGATTCAACTGATATATCATTGGTGTGGTCACTACCCATGTTAGTGGTCCATGAAACAAGCATTTGTCTTGATAGTAGATGTTGAGTTTATTAAAGGCTGCAAAAGGTGAGTGAAATTGTCCTTTTGGAGTTCTCTCTTTGGTCATTCATGAAGGGAACCCATTTCTCTCTCTCTCTCACACACACATGCACAAGCGCACATAGAGTTTGGTGAATGAAGTGGGCTTACATCCTTAAGGACCTTAACACATTAGGACACACAAGACTAACAATTGATTCAAGGAAAATGTT